TACAAAACTACAGAGAATATTATTTACCATCTTATCGAACATACAACTATTTACAAAAATTTAAGAGTAATTTTCAACACGATCATATCTTCTACGAGCAGTATGTTTTATGAAGCAGTCAATAACAAAGAAGTCAACATACTCGTGCATACACAACATGTTTCCCACGTTCAGCCCCATTGACTTGCAAGAGGCTACAACAGGCCATACTTGATGTTCTTTGACCCCTGTAATGATATAAAACATAAATTTGTCTACATTACTGTCTGGGTGTTGTAACCAATTATCTGTATTCCAGACTTCACGTATAATAGTGGCCAATCTGGGGTAGAATGTGACCAAAGACCTTTAATTACGTAGTATTAGTGACGTTCAATCCTTGTGAGATGGTTAAAGAGGACAAAAAATATAAAAAATTATCACTACTCCTGTTTAATGACTGCAGCAAGACTTTTGTGTACTGCACGTAGTAAACTGGTCAACGGGTACAGTGAAATAATGAAACGCAACCACGACACTCTACTGTACATGTTTGGTGTTGGTTATAGTGATGTTGGGTGGTTGTAGGCGCTGAGGATGAAGACGTGTGGATGGATTTATGAATAAGTGGAGTGATGCAAGGAGAGTGAAAGTGAAGCTATGTGTGTGAGGAAATTAAAAATACAGGCGAAGGAGGATCATGGGAGTGTTGTTGTATAGGTAGACACGTGGAGGTTGAGATTGCCAACACAAAATCCTAACTCACTCAAACAAATGAGAGAACATGTGCGGCTGTAACGCAAACATCAGCTGGGTTAACAACGTGCCTGACAGAGCCCAGCAAGAATTGAGTCAACCAACTTTCACACAAGTAATGATATAAATCCATTTTATACATGAAAAGTTATCTTATAGATCTAAATTAATTATAGGCGGACTGATGGACGGGCAACGTTAATGGCATTGAAATTACATACCCCTCACGATCAGGTAGATGACATATATATATGAAGAAAAAAATAGTGATAAGTTGTGTGCGTATGATTGTATATGTTGGACAAGGGGAGTCACCAGGGAGGGCCGACAGCTCCCAGACCATCTATAGACTTGTAACATGACCGTATAAACACAGGGTAACGTGACCCACATCTTCCCAACGTCGTAGTGTTGAGGTTATATTCATTAAGTGTCTATATGGATCGAGCAAGTTTGGTAAATATCAGAACCAAAAACTAAAGGTATTTGTAAAACCTTCCTAAAATAATCAAAAGAAAGATGAAAGACATGAGAGACGAAACTGTCACAGGATGAGGAAGGCTGGAGAGACCACCTCATTTGTCATTTATATTGGGATTTGTTCAAGTTACAATATATTATAGTATTACCTGTCGACGCCTGACAGTCTTGACAGGTGACATATACTCATCAGCCACAAAGATACATACTGGTCTTATTCAAATCACATCGACTAGAACTTATGTTATCTAAATCACATTGCGTAGATATGACCTGTGATTTATTGGCCATATAATGAGAATATATTAACCTCTCCAAAGGGATAAAGACAATTCCCAAGTTTCCTCAAAATTGGAGAACACATAATTGTCGATATTCTGCTTACACTTAAGAGACAGACAAATAGACTCAAAGACAATACGATTCCAAATAAAACTCCCCCTCGTACTACGGGCTGGGGTTAATGACCCATATATCAAGTGGTGAGGTAATTGCTGGGGATATTCAGTACTTACCTCTCGCCAGGTACCCGGAAGTCACGCCACGCACCAAGGCTGACTTTTTTTCTTTTATGTCGACATATATTCCTAATTCTTTCCATAGAAAGGAAAAAAAAATCGGAGGTATGTTTTGTGAGCACATTATTTATTAGTCCACGGAAAAAAAGAAACTTTATGCATATTGCAATATTTCAACCAAGGGAAAAAAAAGAAAAAAAAGGGGTTATATTAATCCTTGACACCAGAGCACCGGGGTTACTACGTCTGTTTGTCTGTGTGTGAGTCAATGAGCGAACACTGAAATATCTTTGAAAAGAGAAAACTTTAAGAGCCAATTTTAATGAAAACTTGGCAGATGGTTTGAGCGTTGGCGATGGATGAATTGATTTAATTTTGGATGAGTCAGGTGGATGGTCAAGGTCAAGGTTAAAGTTCTATGCCCCGTGAGGATCATCTGTTGAGACTATTAATTCACAAGGATAATGGATCGTTGTTTGTCAGTTGCTTTAATATACCTGTAGAAGTTATCAAGAGTTACCACCTAGCTTAGCCTGGTGACTGTCAACATTTGCTAGTTAGCTTAGCCTGGTGACTGTCAACATTTGCTAGTTAGCTTAGCCTGATGACTGTCAACATTTCCTAGTTAGCTTAGCCTGGTGACTGTCAACATTTGCTAGTTAGCTTAGCCTGGTGACTGTCAACATTTCCTAGTTAGCTTAGCCTGGTGACTTAACATTTGCTAGTTAGCTTAGCCTGGTGACTGTCAACATTTCCTAGTTAGCTTAGCCTGGTGACTGTCAACATTTCCTAGTTAGCTTAGCCTGGTGACTGTCAACATTTGCCAGTCAGCTTAGCCTGGTGACTGTCAACATTTGCCAGTCAGCTTAGCCTGATGACTGTCAACATTTGCCAGTCAGCTTAGCCTAGTGACTGTCAACATTTGCTAGTTAGCTTAGCCTGGTGACTGTCAACACTTGCAGTCTTAGCCTGGTGACTGTCAACATTTGCTAGTCTGATGACTCAACAATTTGCCTAGTGACTCATTTGCTAGTTAGCTTAGCCTGATGACTGACTAGTTAGACTGGTGATCAACATTTGCCAGTCAGCTTGCCTGGTGACTGTCAACATTTGCTAGTTAGCTTAGCCTGGTGACTGTCAACACTTGCCAGTCAGATTAGCCTGGTGACTGTCAACATTTGCCAACTATGTAGAACTAATAACTGCGGCTTGACAAAAGAGAACTGTTAGTTAAAATAATTGTTTCCAGTCATGGTAATTACGCACGACACACCATTTTTCACCCCAATTATTTTCAGTACTTTCTTAATAGTCTCTCTCTCTCTCTCTCTCTCTCTCTCTCTCTCTCTATATATATATATATATATATATATATATATATATATTAAACTTATTCCATTTACTCTTTCTCATTAGAGTTAATCATTATGAGTAATTTGTGGAGTAAATTGGTCTAAACAACAGTTATTACTCACGTACATTCTCTTTTTGTTATTCGTTTTTCACCTGTAGTCTATCCGTTCTTAAATTAAGTTTTTATTCCTTCAAGTTCTCTCATTATTCATACGCGACCTTGACATTAATAATTTCTTGCCATAATATCAGTACACCGTAGGTCGACAACCCTCACGCACTATTACCAGCTAAAAGAGCTAAAAGGTTCAGTGTTTGTCTAACAACCGATTGTACGTAAATACCCTGGCAACACTCCTTTTATAACCTTGTGTGTGTGTGTGTGTGTGTGTGTGTGTGTGTGTTTATTAACTTATAAATACAAATGTATACGCAGGAATAAGAGTTTTTTTTAAATTGCATTAATACTTTTACAAATTCAAACATGAAAGGTATATACAAAAATATTTGTTTGCGTGTGGCTATCAATGCTCCCATTGTGTACGTCCTCGCACGCGTTTGTATATCCAATGTTACTGTTTGTAAGCATATATGTGTGTGTGTGTGTGTGTGTGTGTGTGTGTGACCAGAGTGTAAGAGGGAGAGGGGGAGAGAGGGGCGCGGACAGGTGTGTGTTTACCCCCCTCCCTCTGGCCTGGAGGGAGGAGTGACACCCAGGGGCGAAACGTCAACAAACATCAGCTGTACCCTAACACGCGCGTCCTGTCATACTTACCACCGGTTTAATTCTTCCTCATGGCTGAGTATTTTTGCCTCATCCTGGAGTGTGACGAATTTATGAGTAGATAACACGAGGAATACATTAAAAATATAGCGATGGATTTCTTTTTCTTTTCGACCTTGTATTCAATGAGAGCTCGGGATGAGTATTTAGGACGTGTGTGTGTGTGTTCGTTGTGAGAGAGAGAGAGAGAGAGAGAGAGAGAGAGAGAGAATAACAGACAATAAAAAATAGAAAAACATTACTATCAATACATCAGTCGAGAAATGTTTAGTTTTCCTTTAAACCATAATATTTATCTTTGTTTCCTCCCGGGAGTTGAATAACCCGGTCAGATAGTTCCTGTGACTCCTGAATATTACAGTACTGGGTGGCGGGAGGGAAGGAGGGCTGGCTGGAGGGTAAATGACCTACTTTTAGAACAGTGCAGGTGGAAACACGTAAAACAAAATGCCTATTAAAGAAAGATAATCTATGTAAAAAAAAAGAATTAGAGAGACCAACTCATCGCCCTCATTACACTAATGTACAGTACATTGCACACTCTTCTAGCTAGAACAAATAATGTTCAGTAACCGATTTTAGAGGCAGTATGTTAGAGAGTTCCAGAAGAGTATGCCTCCACAAGGCAGCCAGTCTCCTCTCTAGGCTTTGGCCGGAACGTGGCAAATCCAGGAGCAGCATTTATCGTGTGTGCGGCGAGGAATCAAGGAGCGTAAGTGTGGCAGGTTTAGGAACCCATAATTCTGGTTGATGTATAAGAGGCTCTGCTGCAGATGCGCTTACTGCCTCCGCCGCCAGTGCCACCCTATACGGACGCCCGGCTATATATTATTCAAAAACACCTTTTGGGGAAAATACGCAACAACGTCAGCCTCGTTCGGTGCTTTTTCCTGGGTACTCGTGTGACGTCATGACGCATGCGCACGAACAGATATCCCATAAGCCTCCAGAGATTTTAATGACTAACATCAATGATGTGGTAAGCGGGTTTGTGATGTTGGTGTGTGCGCCTTTGTGCAAGGATTCTGCTGTTAATGGGTGAGCTACGGAGGCAGCAGACGAGGCCAGGGCTCAGCGAACACGGTAAAATCGATAGTGCAGCAGGAGAGAGGTGGCCTGGGAGGGATGCCAGTGTGTCAGGCAGTCCAGTGGCGACCGTGGCTGGGGCAGCACGTCGCGCTCCGCTCTGCGCCCGTTACCGCCACTTGATTCTCACGCCCGTGTGTCGAACCTCCGAGGCTTCCGCCGCTAGCCTTGTTCTTTCCTTGTTAGTGAAAGCGCCGACCACTAGTTGTCTCCTCTAGCAAGATTCTTACACCAAACTTCCTAAGAAGCGAGCGAGTGCGAGAATTAAGCATTAGCCCTTGACTCTCCCAGTCCTTGACGTCTGAACCCTAAACCCAAGGTCGGTGATCCTCCCGCGAGGCCCGGCCCCAGGTGGAGGTAGGACAGACTCTGGTGGTGTCACCAGGTGCCACACACCCATCCACCCTCACCGCACCTGAGTCCTGCCATAGGGACGTAAGCCAAACCCATCGATCCTTTCCTACAAGAGCACGTGAAGAGGCAAGGCGTAATTGTTATGCAAATATAGAGCCAGTAGGCCCACTGCGTAGCTTGAGCTGGCCAGGGTTACCTGCTCCCTGACTGTTGGCCGTTACCCCTCATTAAGAGTGACCTACCTGGCCGCAGCGTGACCCCTGAGTCTGCCCCGGAGAAGGTAAGTGCTGGAGGGGGCGTTCCTGCCTCTCTTACATAACCCCCAGGCCAGGCCAGGGAGGGGGCCTGGCCGGGAGGGGTCCACCTCATAACCTGTGGTCCTTCACCGAAAAGTATTTTCTGACAGCACTCCATCGAAATGTCCATTCATATGTCACTCAACCAGTCATTTATATATCTGATGATGACGTAATTTGTAATAACTAACAAGTTTTGATAGTGCAGACAAAAAATAGCTTTCTGTTGTATGTCGAGTGTATTAACATGTTCATTGTGACCCTGTCTCACCTGAGCCAGGGCACAACATTACTATCATGCTGGCTGGCCTTTCTGGTGTGCTACAAATGCCACGGAGAGCCACGCCACACTACTCCTCACTTGTCAAGTGATAACCGGTGAATGATACGAGTATTTGTACCCTATTCACCCTGTACCCTGTTCTCTGCTAAAGACTCTGGGGGTATGATAGAGTACAGTTAGTGGGCAGATGTGCTGTCTGGGGACGGGGTTAGGATACAATAGGGATGTAGTGAGGATATATTAGGGGTGTAGTGGGGATACAAGAGGGGTGTAGTTGGCATACATGGTTAGGGACAGATTAGCAGTAGGTGTAGAGCGACTAATGCACGCCAAGAGGGTGTGTAACTGGTGGTGAACGCTCCGGAGGGTGTACTGTAGGTGTTGATGGTATCAGATGACGTTGTAATAGGTTATTGTGGTGAGTGTACAATTTGGTGACTGAAGTACACCTGGTTATTACACCTGTTATACAGGTAGGGGGCGTGATGGCTGATGTATACTTCTGGGGTGTGGCGTCGAGTTTCATAGTTGAGGGAAACTTGGAGGGCAGTTGTGTTCTCGGGGTAGACGGGGTGTGATGGTTATCGTGCACTCTGTGGGGGGCGTGTTGGTTGCTGTGCACTCTGGAGGTGTTCGTTCCAGTGCACTTTAGGGGGGGATTATCGTAGAATTTATGGACAGGTTATATGCACTTTAGGGCGAATTGGTTGTCGTGCTTACTAGGGAAGGCATATTGGTTGCTGTACATTCGGGGGTATGTATATAACTCTGAAGACAGGCATACTGTGGTAACCTCCGAGTTGTTATAATTCGGGAGTTTTCGCACAGCTTTGAGAGAGAGAGTGAGAGTTGGCCGCCTCGTCCCTGTCCAGTGTGATGCTGTTGACAACATCTCTCCCAGAGTTCATCCTTCACTATTGTTGACACTTTACATCCACCCCTTAAACTTACACCACTGAAAATCATAATCATAACGCGCTAACTGTCCCTGTGGTAGTTTAGAGAGGTGTTATCCTAATTTTCTTGGTACCAACTCACGTAGCTCTGATGTATCACCCAAGGCACAAGCCACAGAACGTGTATGAAGGATTTATGTTTCTACTCGAATAACTAAATATCCATATGTTAATTCTGCGCTGTATTTTTTCAACGGTAGAAATAGACAACGTTTTTTTTTTCTATTTCTCTGCTTTGATGGAGGTGGAACATGCCATGTTATCTTGTGCGTGTGTGTGAGTTCACTGGTGGACTACCAACCTTCCCACAAAACAACTCCTGTCCCTTTTTGAGCTCTCTCTGCAGCCTCAGCTGACCCAGTTCTAAAAGAGTGACTCGTATGACTGTTTGATGTGCACAGTAATTAATGTCATGGGTGTTGGTATCATCCCAAGTTTCAAAAGTGGGAGTGAATACAATAGTTTTCTAAAGTCAATTTTACGTGTACCGGACATGCCTGAAGTTGTATGTTCATCAAACTGCGGCACAACTAATATAAAGAGTTGTGACAGGGTGTGGCCGAGGAGAGGAAAGTGGGAGACGGAGAAATAGCCCCGAGAGGAGGAAGTGCCCTGGGAGGGAGAAGTGCCCCGGGAAGGAGAAGTGACCTGGGGAAGGCGAAGTGACCTGGGGAAGGAGAAGTGACCTGGGAAAGGCGAAGTGACCTGGGGAAGGCGAAGTGACCTGGGGAAGGAGAAGTGACCTGGGGAAGGAGAAGTGACCTGGAGAGGGAGAAGTGGCCTGAGAAGAGGGAAGTGGCCTGGAGAAGGCGAAGTGGGTAGGGAGAGAAAAGTGGCCAGGGAAAGGTAAGTGGCCGGGGAAGGGTAAGTGGCTGGGGAGAGGGAAGTGACCGGGGAGATGGAAGTGGCCGGGGAGGGAGAAGTGGCCAGCTGATGGGAAAGTGGCCGGGGGAGAGATGTATGGCCTGGAGAGGGGGGAGTGGCCTGGAGAGGGAGAAGTGGTCGGGGAGGGAGAAGTGGCCGGGGAGGGGGAAGTGGCCGGGGAGGGGGTAGTGGCCGGGGGTACGGTACTACAGTCAACACCTCCAGGGAGTGGGGAGAGGGGGAGCGTCTAACCCGGTACATAGTACTTGACTCCTCAAATATTTACCAAAGACACAACAAAAGCTTCCCCCAAAACTGCGAGCACAAGGAGGGCTTTCCGAGTCGCTGACACAGAAGAACCTGGCGCAGGTGCCGGAGAGCTGGTTGTGAGGCAACGAGAAGCATCGTTGCCATTAAAAATAATGGTTCAAGTCAACCATGACAAAACTTTGACTATAAGTAGCAAACAGACTTGTAATTAGATCTCTTGAACTTCTAGAGCGATCTCTATCATTAGATGGTGTTTTCTAAAAGTTAAAGCGACATTAATTTGCAAAGTTTTCAATGGTTAAAATGGATCTTCCAGTAAAATACAGCACTGACAACCTTCTTGTTGAATGAGAAAATTGCTGAAACTCATCATTTCACAGTCAGAAGACTTGAAAGACACGTGCATGGCGTTGGGGTTCTTTTAGTACAATACAAAGCATTAGCCCCCTCCCCCATACACACTACACTGAAAACTTTTAATTTTTATTTGCCTAGTTTTTTGTGATACAAGTGTGAATTTTGTGTGAGGAAAAAGATATATTTGACACAAGTATTACAGCAAGACTAACATTCACCCGATGTATTATACGCAACAAGAACTAACGCTCGTCGACGTCCCAGCGACCTCGCTTTGATCTATGGCTGTGACCTTGACCAAGGCCTTATCAAAATCATACAGCTATATTCTAAACTTTAACTGTGCATCAGCTCCCATGAAATTGATTCACTGCGTCCTGCGATTCCTTGGGGATAAGTACAATTAGTTAGTAAATACACACGATCAAACTGATGTTGAAAACCTACGCAATCCGTGCAGTAAAAAACGATAATTAGATCAAAACTATCTCTGCCATGTGACGTCACTGTGTTAAGTAAGACCTATTGCTTCTAATAAAAAAATAGGCATCATTACTTTCAGCGATATTTTCAAACCGCGTCTAAAAAAATGTTGATGAAATATTAAAAGATCAATAATAATAATAATAATAATAATAATAATAATAATAATAATAATAATAATAATAATAATAATAATACAGTTCATATTAAAACTGTTTATGAAACTTGGTTACATTTTCCCATAGATTTAACTAGAGTACAAAACAAAGACTCTGAGCATCGCTGACATCGTTAACCCAAAGGACAGACCTGACTCTTAGAACACCAACTTTCCACCAGAATCATTACACCATAATACGGATCACTGCAGACTAAATATATTGTTGTTGAGTTACTACATCGCTTCTATCTCTCCTAAATATTCTTAGTGGCCGAAGAAAATATGTTTTGTGTAAGAAATTATACAGTACGAGCGTTTAATAGTATCATTCCGACAATGTTTCCACAATCATTCTCATCATTAAATTTGTTCAGGTTGCATAAGAAACATTGTAATCCGCAGCTGACGTGTTAGCGTGAAGAACTTGATTACCAGCAACAATAAAAGTTATCGATTATTGAAAAGAATATTGAAATTAAAAGGGAGTTTCTCAACCGGGTTCCCTCTAATAAGGAGTAAAACACACAAGAAGGAGGAGTGTGTGTGTGTGTGTGTGTGTGTGTGTGTGGTGTACAACTGTTCACAGCTACAACTGACCCAAGGTTTACCGTAACGCCTAAACTTATTATGATTCGATAAAAAGATAAAATACTTACAGTTGAGACTCGCTGGAAAACATGTGCATCATCCATTAAAAATCACCATTACCTTCGTTACCTAATGTTTCACAATGAACAGTTACTGTCCTGCAAACAGCTCCTTTGTACAGTGGCAGCAACGACTCCTTATAATAACAGCCAACATAACAGAGCAAGATTTGTGCGCCCAATACAGAAGTAACAGAAAAACGACACAACTACGTAGTCGTCCACCATCACTCGTGCACCTTCTGGCTGGCAGTATTTTGAGTGTTTGGTCAGCTGTTGTCAATGAAAGTCTCATTCCATCTCCCTCCGTTGGCTGGTCTAGTTATACGAAAAGAAGACTGGCTAAAGTCCGTCTGGCGTACGTTCCATAAGTGTGTCATTGTGGGGCACAAGGGAGCGCTGGCGCAGTTGATTTCCCCTATCTGACGCAGTTTTCATTTTACGAGCAATACAACCACTCCAGAGCTTGTCGTCTAATTATCACGAGGGAATCATCAAATAGTAAATATAAAGGATATACACACACATATATATATATATATATATATATATATATATATATATATGCAAGTAAATCACTGTAGGTGCGCGTGATCCAGGTATATGCTGATAACCACAAGAAAATACGAAGTTCCCAAGCTCTTTCCTGTAATTCACATCTTAAGGGGTGAGTCTGTACTCACCCCTGAAGATGTGAGTACAAAATATTACAAGGTAATATTACAAGGTAATATTTTGTAATTCAATTGACAGTAGGAACATTATAGAATTCACTCTCATTAAACATACCGAATCCGTCAACATGAATTTGAGTAATGGTATGTACAAACTGGATAATTTCGTAATTAAGAAGATTTGTAACCAGGTGAGAAGGTTGGGTCATCTTACCCTCTGCCCTGACTACCGACTGCTGCGGTGCTTATGAAGATTAGTATATATATATATATATATATATATATATATA